TTACTTGTAATATTTTAAAAATATATATAAAAAATGTTTTCTCAAAGAATACCTATAACTATATTTATAAATTCATACTTCTAATAATTGAAAACACAAATTGTCTTGTTTTACATGTGATTATTACAATAACTTAATTTATTGATTTTTAAGATAAGAATAAAGTAATTTATAAAAATACTATCATTATAAAATATTACTATATCAAACATTTTCAACATATTTACTTCATCAGAATCAAAAACCTAAATAATTTTCCACCCAAATAATTTTCCATTAATTATTATTAATAATTAATAAAAAGTAATTACAATCGAAAGTTAAAAATCAATATTTCATATGTTATATCACGATATTACGTGTTTGTTCGCATAATTCGCATTTCTATTCGAAATAATACAAATTGATCAATTACGATCGATATCGTATCAATGAAGATAGAATTTCTTGGACTGCTTGAACATTTGGATCATTAACTGAATGTGGATATGAGAGAGAATTTCCGTTTAATTTCGGCTCTTGGAAGAAACAGAGCTCGCCTCTGAAACTGCCGATCTTCTTATCAGTATTCCGGTACAAGCCAAGAAATTACAGTGTTCGTGGAAAAAAGAATAATTTAAAGTATCAAGATTCAGAGTTCCTAATGCGATCGCCACTAATTGGTGATAAATTATCGTGATCGTTTCTTTGAAGGGGATCAACCACGTGAAGTAAAAAGGAATTAAGCCTTGATATTAAAGTTACTTATATTAATGAACTCCAGTTGCGTGCTATCTTTTTGCTTTGATTCTTATCTTGAAATTCTGTTTTTTTTCTTCAATTAGTGATTAATATCGTAAAATTATCATTAGATATAGTTTATGAAAAATATTGCATTTATTTGATATAAAAAATATATACATATTATAATATAAATAAACATTTAGTGATGATTTGAAAATTTTGGAATATAAAATTTAAAGATATTTTATAATTTATTTCGCATTAAAGAGTTAATTATTAATTATATTTTTACGTTAATGATCTTTTTCTGAACAAATTGTTAAGAAGTAAAAAAAACATTAATTTAAATATAAATAAAATCTTTCTGACATTTCTTACAAGCAATATTTGAATTTTCAAGTAAAATTCTATTTCATTTATATATTTCTAATTTTTCATTATATAGGAATTTAATATTTTTATCTTTTTTTTATAAAATCTTTATTTTATTAATTTTATTAACAATTATAGTTTGATTAACAATTATTTCTTTGATTAACAATATTTTCTATAACGAAAATCAATACGTTATACGTATTCATGTATGTTTCATGGAATTGTTTGGAAAAAAAGATCATTATAATAATTTACAAGTAAATAAAGAATTAAATTTTATCGTAACAATAGTAATTTTTATCATTCTTTTCAACGAATTAATTAATCGAAGGATACCGTTTATTCAAATAAAAATTGTATTATTTCTTAATTTATTAAATTTTTATCGTAAAGAAATATTGTATTATAATATATAAATATGTTATATCAAATTATTAATATTATTAATTCTATTTTTTTTAGATTTCGAATAATTATCAATTGTTGTCTTCTCTTTTCAAAGGAAATTTATATCTAAACAAAATTTTAAAATTATTTTAATAAATATGATCTATATTTGTAATATATATATGTGCAAAAAAAATTTATTAATTTATATTTGTGATACATATATGTACAAAAGAAATTTATTAATTTATATTTCTAATATATATATGTACAAAAAAATTTATTAGAATAAACAAAATTATCCATTTATGAATTTTACTTCAAGAAAGAACTCTCAACAATAATAAATTTAACTCTTAACAACAATAAATTTCGTTTTATATCGAAATAAACCTTCTTCTCGAAACAGTAGTAAAGTAATATGTAGTAGTGAAGTAAGGAGATAATATAGAGATCCGCAATCAAATCGTCCGGAAGAACAACATTCGTCGGTTGCACAACATTTATCGGCTTCCATTTTCGATCCAGAGGCGATATTTATCGTCAACGAATCAAAAGTATCGAACGAGCGCCCTCTTTGCGGCTCGTGGTCGGATTGGCCGATAATTCGATCACGTTTCGACCATCTCGAAACGATCGATCGAAACGGTTCCGAGGTAACGATTGCATAAGGGAATTGTGGCTTCCGATGTTGAATATCGGTGGAGCAGTCGGATGATCGAGTGCTCGACGATCGTAAATTTTCATATCGACGACGGAGAGATGGAAACACGCCGACATCGCGGCTTCCTCGTTGTAAATTAACGAACGACGTCCGTGGTACCGAAAGCGTTTATGGATCGTAAAAGATGGTGAGATGTAAACTTTCTTGCAAAAAAATCTTGTCCCGCCGGTAATTCCTGCACGATCGTAAACGCTTCACGAAAAGACCGGTCTATCCAAATTCAAAGGGTGTTCCTCCGTTTTTCGCGTGTGATCCCATAATGGTTCGTGGACATCTTGTTCCGAATGCTGTAGAATTGAGAATGAGATTTATGATGAATCGGGATGGGAATATTATTTGGCTAATGAGAAAAAAGAAATTGGTTCTTTAGAGAATATGAATATTAAAAATCGTGAATATTTAAATAATGAGTTGGATTTTTTTTTTGGATATTTTTTTTAAATTTAAAAATTCTTTTTGGAAGTATTTAAATTTCAGAATATTATGATATATTGAAAGTTTTTATTTTTTAAGTTTAAAAATATCGAAAAGAGATTGGAAGATTTCAAAATTTAAAAATGATAATTAGTAGTAATTTAGATTTTTCTTTATTTTTTGAAAGATAGAAATTTTTTCAAAATTTTTTAGATTTGAAAATATTATTTTTAAAATATATATCTGAATTTCAGAAATGATATTTGTTTGACTAATAATATAAATATTTTTTTATTTTTCCGAATAATTTCTTTTGTTAAGTTTAAAAATATTTTTTTTCGAAATATTTAAATTTTATAAATAAAAGTTTCAAAATGATAAATAATAATTTATCATTTTTCATGTGCTTTTTAATGATTCGTGGACATTTTATTGTAAGAATAAAGGTCGAGGAATTGAGAATTAGAATAGAATTAAAATTTATGATGAATAGGAATATATTACATTATAATATAGGAAATAAGAAATTTTAGTTTTTTATTTTTCTTTATTCTTCTAGATTTAAAAACATTACAAACACTTGAATTTCACAAATTTCCAAAATTCTTTTTATTTTTCTATTTGAAATTGGAAAAATTCGAATTTTTGAAGTGATAATTATCTAAATTATTAATTAAGTAATAAATTTAAGAACTTTTCTTTATTTTTTCAAAGATTAAAAGTCTCTTCGGAATTTTAAATAAAAAAAATCAAAATTTAGAAATGATAATTAGACTTTTCTTTATTTCTTTGAAAGGTGCATGTCCTTTATATTATGATAATAATAATTAACAGAGTGGATGCCGTCAAAATGAAGGGCACACAAAATAGACACTGCTAAATAACAACCATTTATATTTTAAGCCTCGGGATGTTCGTTCTTTCGCTCCTCGTGATATGTCCAGCAATCGTAGCCTTCCAGTCTTTTCTTCCAGACGTCACTGGTAATTAGTATCTCTGTTTAAAAGAGAATCGAGACAGTAAGAAACACCTATCCACTCGCGACGATCCTTCATTTTCATCGTTCATCCACCTAGGTCACAAAAACCAATACGACTAACAAGGTTGCAAAGAAATTAGACTTGACTCACCGTTCTCCTTTTTTTCCACTACTATTAAGTATTCGTTGCTTGATGAGTGCCAAGACGTTTATAGAGAGGCGTAGTTGTGTTTTCCATCGCGATTCAGCATCGTTTCTACGCGATAACGATAGTAATCGCGCAACATCGCTCCAGGACGCAAAACAGCAGCGTTTGCATGCATTTTGTCGAGAGGATGGATACAGTGGAGGATACGTGGTGAGAATGCATCCTGGCACCTAATGTGTGCTCTCAGCGGGCATCTGTGATCGGCGTGTCTTCATCCTTTTTTCGAGATGGACGCCATAGTGAGTGTAAAAAGAATGAGTAATTGGGGATTAAAGAAGTGGTGGAAAAAATGGGATGAAGAAGGGTGATTAATGATTGGACGTAGAATTTGACTCTCTACTACCGAGATACCTAATTTGAATCGTAAAGAATCGATTTATTTATTTATTTATTTGTAAATGAAAAGAACTTTTTACCATTTGTATTTTTATTGTTTAATTTATACATATTTTCTCAAATAAATATTATACAGTTGAATTAATGGAAATTATAAATTTATATATAGAATGAAAAAAAGATTTATTAATAGAATTTAAGTAAAAAATATTTTAAACTTTATTTAAATTACTAATTTGAATTAAAGTTATTATTTCAGATTTTTTTGTTTAAAAATCGTTATTCAAAATGAAAATTATGTAAGAGTATTTAAAAAATAAAATGAAGTAAGAAAGGATGATTAATATTTAGATATTCATAAATATGAAGATATAAATTAAAAATATTTTTAATTTTAAAATTTCGTTTAAAATATTAATTTTAACTAAAATTATATATATTATTTAAATTTTTTGCACGAAAATATGAATTTTCGTGTGCAATTTCAATTATTCGTTTATCTTAATAATATTTTTAAAGATTTTATCATCAATAAAATTTTATAATAAAAATAAGTAATAATTCTTTAATAGAGAATATATACTTACATTAATATCAATTATATTGTTTAAGTTTTATTATTTTTTTTTTCGCTATATATATTGGCATATTATTTATTGAATCTTGCATTAATATAAATTACGATTCTGATGATTTAACATTAATGATATAATAAATGATTTTTTGCAATTAAATAATAGTATAATACAATAACAAAATTATAAGAAAATTCAATACAAAAAGGGAAAATTTTTTTCAAATCGATAATATATTTAATATCATCTTCACAAAGACTTTCCCAAAAATCTCCCTAGAAGCTTTCACGAGCCAACCAGAGAGCACGTTACCGTGGATCGTGGCCAGATAGCCACCAACCATCGTCCCAGGTTACCGCGCAATCGATCGATCGATCTCGACCCCTCGCAGGGCCAAGCATCCAGGGCCTTTTTTGCCATCTCGCGGGGAGGTGGTTCGAAGGTGGTTAGAGTCGGTAGGTAGGCAGGAGGATCTTCGTGGAGGCAAGAGGCCAACCGGAGGAGTCTCGAGGAGGAACGAAACGGAGCGGAACACGGCGGCGAAGAGAGGTCCGAGGAGAGGGCAGAGAGAGAAGCTGTCTGGATCGATGATGCATGGTACCAGCGACTCGGTCGTGCTACTCCCTTGCAAACTTCATCTTCGTAGCTGCTTCCACCTCCTTCACCCTCTCTTCAACTGGCGCGGGCTCTCTTTATTCTGGCGCCGTTCCGCTGCCCCGCGAATTCTGCAACCGGATTGAACAAAGATTTGCGCTCTTTCTGTTTTCGTTGTGTTCTCTGTTGATTTCGATCAAATGAAACGATTTTCAGAATTATCGTTTTGAATCTTATAGAAGTGTTATTTGGGAAAATGTTAAAGTTGATTGGTGATCTTGGCTATTTTTTGATTACTTTTAACACTTATAATGGTATTTACGTCTTTTTGCTTTTATTTTATGTTATATTTTTGATGTGTATTTTGTCTTTGTATTATATTTGTGTATAGTATCATTAACTCAGTTACGTTCTTCGGGATATTTTTGTCCTCATGATTTTAATGTAATTCGTTTAATTTTTTGGATACATAAATGAAATTTTGTAAATACTTATTTTGTAATATATGATAAATATTTAAAAGTGTGATTATAAAAAATACTGAGTAAAAGATACTGTGGATATTTTTGTCTTATAAAATTCTATATAAATTTTATTTATATAATATGATAATTTATGAATATAGATATATGTATTCTATTTTTAATTTAATTTTTAAAAATTATTAAATTTGCAAGAAATGTAACAAAATTATTTTGGAATACATTTTTAGAATACATTTATGTTATAATTTATTCTTCATTCAGTCATCAATCGTTTCTTATTAGTCTGTAAAATTTTCTCATGATATTATAAATTTAATAAAAGAAATTAAAATAATTTAAAAATATTTTATATTTTTATCTTAAAGCAAAATATAAAATTCTATCAAATTATGTACAAAAACAAAATGAAAATAATTCATATTTATATTTTAAAAAGTAATAAGTATTTTGAAATTATAATAACATTAATAAGATAATGCTATTATTAAAACAATATATATATGAAGTATAATAATAAGTTTTCGAATTAATAAATTTCTCTTTTAATTTTTGAATGAATTTTTTAAATTTAAAGCACAATAAATTTTTGCAAAATAATGAGATCAGTTTTAATCTGTTTAATAAATTGCTCATTTTTTTTTTATCATAATCATATCATTTAATAACTAAAAAACCAACTAAAAGATATAATATTTTACATCTCTTATTCATCTCTTATTATTTAAACGTTCAATCATTATTCTGATCATTTACCAAATTAATATTGAAAAGAAACTAATAAACGTGTCCACGACATCTGGATCCTGGTTCAAAACTGACTGACCATGTTGTCGTGGACTATATCGCTTGTATATCGAGCGTGTACACATCGAGGGCGCGCGATTACGCTCGTGGGAGTGGTGGAGGTTAGCCGCGGGCCAAGCATCTGGCCGTAATTACTAAATTATCCTTTAACTCCGCCGTCCACTCGAGGCCGCGCCGCGATCTTATCCGACCTGGAGGGTTGTGCCTAGGTTTACTCAGCCAGCCCTGTACCGGTCGAAACGATCGTCGTTTATCCACGATGTATATTCTCGTTCAAAAGGAAAGGAACATCTAGGAGGGAAGAGATGGAGGAAGAGGTAGAAACGGCTTCCTAGGTCTTGGAACGCGAAATCCCCGGAAAAACCGGTACAAAGTCATTGACGAGAGCGAAGCGCCTTTAACTATTCGCCGATCTTCCACTATGAGAAACCATTTCTTCGTGATTACACGTTTACGTATGCCCTCGCAGGAATTTCTGAGGAGCTACTTTAAGATCGAGTCGTTAAGGAGAAATTGGTGGAAGTGAAGATCTTGAGATTGTGTGGTAGCTTTGATTGGAAATTCGAGAGGATTTTTGGGGAGGAAGGAAATAGAGTTGTTGAGGTAGATCGATGATACAAAGGAATTTTTGGTTATTTTAATTTCGTGATGGATTTTTACAATTCAAATGTGAAAATTATGTTTTATAAAAATTAGAATTGACAAAATTAGATAGACGGTTTTTAATTAGATAAAATTAAAATTCGTGGAAACTTTTGAAGGAAATTATTTATGTATTTTTAATTTCATAGTATAATTTTACATAATAGAATGTTATAAAGTGAAGATGTTAAAAAAAAAAATTAGAAATTAAAAAAAATAATTAAAAAAAAATTTTAATTATTTGTAGATGAATGTTTTTACGTGAAATTATTTTCATGAAAATTCTTCTAGATTTTTATGTAAATATTGAAGGAGTTCATAAATTATTTGGTTATTATAGAAAAAGATCATATCTCAAAATTTTTAGAGAATTTAAAAGATTTCATAAATTTTTTATTTATATTGCAATTTTATTAACATTTAATATCATTAGTAAATATTTAATAAAATATTTTTATTTAAAATCTTTCTTGCCAAAACAAAATAAATAAAAATTATAAAGATTAGTAATTTATTAAGTATTAACATTTTTGCCACTCTTTCAACAAAGAAATTAAGAAAGTTCGCGAATATCCTTAATCGTATGTCGTAATCTTTACTCGCGCGTTCACACACGTATACATAGAATGATGTATATTTGTTGGTGCGGCGTGAGTCGCCTCTAGCATGAATGCAAAGGCGAAGGCAACCTGGTTCACGAGGAATATGACTGTAATCATTGAAAACAGGAAATCACCTGAATTTAAATACTTTTCAACTCTCATCTTCTTCACCACGACCTTTATGTAGATGATCGTTAAAACCCCGTTTTATGGGAAACTATGCCTATCACTTTATGAAATAGCTTTATCGACGCTCGAAATCGAAGCGATATTCTTTGAAAAAAAAAAAAAAAAGAAGAACTTTAATCACAATGTGAGAGTTTCATGAAACTGAATTCATTATAGAATAATTGAACTATTGTGAGATACTGGGAGAATTTTAATTTACATACTTTCAAAGGGATTATTACGTATAGAATACTTTTTAGAAGAGTGGAAAATATGAAGGGTATTTAATAGATGGATTTATGAAAAAAGATAATGAAACTTTATTTCATAATTTTATTAATTTATGAAATTACATAAATTTCTCAAAATCTTCTAAATTCATTTTTTACAATAATTTTTATCTATTAAAATCCAGTACAATTTTCTTTTCAATTTTTTTTCTAATTTTTTTATATAATAATTTTCCAAAATAATATATTTAAAAATTAATAAAAACAGAATTTTGGAAAGTATAATTTTTAAAAAAAAATGAAAATATGTATTTCCACATTCAAAATCTTCAAAATCCAACATAATCTTTCACAATTTCTTCTTCAAACTTTTTCATTACCCATTTTTCATATACTCAAAAATATTATTAAAAAGCAATTTTGATTTTATAAATCATAAAGAAGGAAAAAAATCTTTTAACTTTTTAAGAATTAAATTTTTCTAAAAATTCTGTCATTAAATCCAAATCATTCAATTATTTCTAATTTTAAATCATAACCATATAAATGAAAAGCGTAAATTTTGCAATAATTTATTAAATTATATATCATAAAAATTATATATCAAATAAATATTATATATCAATAAAATAAAAATTATATATCAATAAATAATCCTCATAATATATATTTTACAAAAATATTAACGATTCCAATAACCTACATAAAAACCAATTGGAGAGGACTAGTTCATATTTTCTTTACTTTACAACCCCCATCACAGCACGCACGTGCGTGCTTACAAGTGGAATGGTGTGGGTGCGATCCGCAAGAGAGAGAGAGAGAGAGAGAGAGAGAGAGACAGGAAGAGAGAGAAAGACAGAGAGAGAAAGAGAGAACTCTGGCAAAGGCGGATTGTGCTACGAAGATCGTGCGAGTTTACTGCACGAGCGCTTCTTTGTCCCGCATGCTCGCACACGTGAGGCCTCTGTACCCTCTCGCTTGTTCTCATCCACTTGTATCTCTCTTTCAAACGTGGCGGGGACGTGCACGTGAATTTATGCATCGGTTCTCGTCCAACGAAGGGCCCACACGCTCGTCCTCGTCCGATTCATCGCGGACCGGAGATGATGCATCGTCTCGTGCGTCTCGATCGTGTGTTTCTCCTTCTCTCTCCTGTCTATTCACCGCCGGTTCCCTCGCTCTTCCTCTGTCTTCCTCTCTCCAGCACTCTTAACAAACGCTGGATACAACTCAATCGCCGGTCACGATCCTTAAGCGGCTTTCACATTGGCCCTTATTTTCGAAATCGATTCAATTGGCGGATTTCTCCTCCTTGGTTTTGGATTTTTGAATCTTATTGGCTAATTGTTGATCGAGTAAGTAAATGCAATTATGCAGTAATATTGTGAATTATAAGTATGTTCGATGAATCTGGAAATTTTGTTAGAATAATTAAAACAATGTTTTACAATCGTGTTTGAATTACGATTCTCTTTTATGATAATTTAAATAATTTGTATACCTTTCTTCTCTATATGTATATAAAATAAAGAAAATTTAAAATATTAATATGGCTTTATATTAGTTTTACTATAGAATAATTAATGATATTATTATGGAATATGTAATTATATTATTATGAAAAAGATAAGTGCTGAAAATCATTAAAATTTTGTATCATTTCCTTGAGAACTACTGATATAAAGTATTCGATTGAGTGTTCTGATTGAGATTGTAATAAAATTTTGGTAAATTATGATACAAAGAAAGAGATTAAGAAAAAAAAGAGATAAAGAAAGTATTTCAGCATTGTTACTTTATTATTTATATAAACTTTTTTTTTGTATGATTAAGGTTAATGAATATACATGTAAAAATTATATGTAAAAATTAATTTTAGATAAAAATAATTAAATAATATTAATGGAATTTAAAATATAAATAAAATGGAAATAA